TGCCTGTGGTAATTTATGATTTTTTGATTGGATCATATGATGATCTTGGTTGACCGTTCTGATAATCTGTCAAAAAATAAAAAAAAAAAAAATTTTTTTTACCTGTACAAGGCTTGCCACCTCTACGCGGTGTCCGGGAGAAACAGTTATAGATTAATCTATACCTGGCTAAGTGCAAGCATATTATGATCTTGAATTAATAAAAAGAATGTTCGTTGAATATTTTAAACATTTATGATAATTTACAATTCTCAGATATAAGATCGACATTATATAATTCCTTCTATGATTGTAATCCAAGTTTACTAATTACATTTCTTTGAATTATTTTTGCTGTCAACGAAAATCTCATTCTACATATTACCCTCTGGTATTCACTGAAGTTATACCAGCGAATCGATTATTCCAAAAATGTGCTTTCTTAAACGCTAGTGGAACTTTAGGAAAAGGGATTCTAATTCTTCATCAAATATTGGGATGCGAATCCTGCGGTATCATAACCTGTACGTTCCGCCATTTCTGCTCCCACAAACCTCAATATGGACTCGATACCAGCCTCAACCTCTAGTAAACCGAACTCCCCCAGTCATCTTTCTTATGTGGTAGCGCTAGGAAGAGGACTTTATCCCCTGACTTCTACTACCTGGAATACCGGGTTGGACCTTGTCACGAGAAATTGGTTGGGAGGGCTCGTTCAACATCGTGGAGGTTACACGGTTTTGTTGAAATGCATGAAGGATATTGCAGGCGTTAGTGAAATGTTAATGTTTGTAAAAGATAGAGAGTTGGACAAGTCTGTAAGGGATTCTACTGGGTCTCGACCTGCAAGTCTGGTGGAAAATTCTTCCGGAACAGGTTCTAAACGCAGTTCTGCTCTTGGTCTTTTTGCTTTAACTCAACAACAAAATTCACCACGCACAAGCATACACGCAAACAGTGATCATGATGCTCTTATGGTGGATGTTAAAGCAGGCACTTTGAAGCGTTTGGTGGATGTTCTGATTAATGGTGTTGCAGCTTATAGCACAAGAGTCTATGATGACAATGGCGATCCTCCTTTAATTATCGGAAAGCAAGGACAACTCGGAATTAATTCTGAAGAATATTTCGCAACTTTCTTTAGCACGAATCGTGGTCCTATTTTGTTTCTTGATATACGAAAACGGTTCATTAACGAAAGTTTCAAAAGAAACCGTCGAATCTTCAAATCAAATTGCAGTTTCACCGAGCCTGACGCGTGATGATATAAGTTCAAAAACCGAATCAGTGCATTATGATTGGAATATGGTTGCTTCAATTCAATCAAAATTTTTAAAAGTATTTAATTATTGGATTTCAGAATTCTTTTTTGACTTCTTGATACATAACTTTGAGAAATCGTTTAATGCATTTTATTAATGAAGCCAGAACTGAAGTGAAAATATGATCTGAACTTGTCACGGAAGAGCCTGTTGTAACCCTTGAAAAGTTCAGTTACTTCCTCGACCAATTCAATCCTTTTGTCGTATGCATTACGCCATACGTAACTGGGCGATTCAAGAAATCACACAAACATCTATCAAATGAGAAAAACGAGGGAAGCGGATAGCTAAATGGCTTGACATGATTTTATTAAGTCGGAAGAGCATGGAAAAATTGGACATTTATCCCAGCTAAGCAAGATTGTAAATTTAAAAGAGGAGTTCCCTCCTTTGTTGAGTGTTCAATAGTTAGCGGTTTGATAAGTCCAGAGTGTAGATTATTCACAAGAGCCTGGAATAATGTTGCAATTAGTCGAAAAGGTGGACTAGATTCACTTGACACTTAAGCTTGTCGACGATTTACATCCCAAATTCGCTTTATTACCATGCGTTAGTTGGTTATTTGAGAGAATGATGAAAATTTGTTGTAACGTTCCTGATTACGATAAACGTCGCTACGTATATAATTTGACGCAAATATTTGTTAGATTACAACATGAATTGATGGAACGATCTCATGAAAGAAAGCCTCCCGTCGATGTTGGATTATTAATGAAGACAAATTCACACATAATCGCTTCCAAGTCGGACTTCCGATTTATTAAGGACGATTCTTACAAGAAAATAGCGTGAATGCAACACAAAGAACAGCCAAGTTCCCAAAACTGGTTTACAAACTTGTTTCTGAGCAACAGGATAAGACTAAACGCGACCAATACGAGAGAGATCATTTAGCTAAAGATATACGTGACACTCAGAATAAATTACAAAAGAAACAAAACAAACTTGAAAAACGGTTCAGAACACAGCAAATACCACGTAATAAGTCTAGAGTTGAAACTTTTGTTAAACAAGTTGCACGAACGACCTATTTACAGTATATTGAGGAGGATTCCAAGCTATTTATAATGATATTATGAATGACTGGATACGAGTTATTAATGAAGCGGCCATAGAAGGAGCGGAAAAGCGTAATACTATATTAAATAAGGAACCAATCATTGAACGTAAAGGAGAGGATTTTCCCGATGAACCTAAAACAGCTCTGATAAGTTTAATTGATTTTTATTGTAATCTATTTTTTAATAATACATGAGTCCTGACACGTTGATTTTCTTGATCGACAATAGGTATATGGTAAAGATTTAGAAACATTGATGCCCGATGACAAGATTCCAGTTTTGGTTGAAAAATGTATAGCAGATATTGAAAAGAGAGGTAAGCGATCTAATAAGTATCTAAATATTAGATTAATTATTTTTTTTTTCCTTCCTGTACATGATCATATTTATTTATTAGATCTTACGGAAGATTGGTATTAATTGGCTTTCCGGAACTACCAACGTTGTTAATAAACTTCGTGCATCTTTCAACAAATGTAAGTGCATTCATTGCATTTATTATTATTATTATTATTATTATTGGTGTCTAATTTGTAAATTTTTTTTTTATTTAGATGCCGATGCTGTCGACTTGAGCAAAGAGACATTAATGTCATAACAGGTGCTCTCAAACGTGTTTTGCCTGAACCTATAATAATTTGAATTATACGACGCTTTTATCGAGGCTGACGTACCTTATTTTGTTATCGTTACTAATGATTTTTTTGCAATTTGTCACTTTAAACATATGTATATAGGCCTTAAATATCATGATGAAAAGCACCATTCTATTAAAGATCTTTTGAATAAACTTCTCAAAACAAATTATGAGTTATTAAAAAGATTAATTAAACATTTGGAAAGGTGATTTAACATTATGTATATATATATCTGTTGCTAAATAAATTATTTGTTAATCATTTGATCTATTAAAGGGCAACGGATTTTCAAGAAGTCAATCATACAGTATGTAAGCAAGTAATTGGCTATCGTTTTCGGACCCAATTTACTTAAATCTATGGATTATGCAAAGACCGTATGCAATCTAGGTCATCATAATATCATTGTCAAATGTTTGATTCTTCAATATCCTTGGTTCTTTAATGTCGAAGAGGATGAAACCGAGTATCAAGATGAGTTCTGATCCATGAAAACAGCAAAACTAAATAAGCATAATCATGTTGAGGACATTAACAACAGAGATTCAATACTAACGAATGTAACAGAGGATCTAGAAGGAGAATTGGAGGAATCATTGAGGGTACCGGAGGAGAATAAGATACATGAACAACACAATGAATTTTTAAACCATTCAGATATAACTTTTGAGGCTATTCATCGTGATTCCGCTTTAACGTATGCAACAGAGAAATCAGAAAATGAATTGACAGCAGAACTTGTGAAAAAGGAAGATTCAAAGGAACAAAATATTAACAATATATTACAAACCTTTAGTGAACAGACTGGAGTTTCTTGCCTCGATGATATAAAAAGACAATCAACAATTACCTTATACTTTTATTCAATCTCATTCCAACTGAACCTCACTTTGATAATTTATCAAGAACGAATGCAACTACGAATTCCAAAGAAAATCCAGGTATTCAATAATGTTTCTGGGTAAGCGAATTTCACAAGAAATGTATAATAATGAAATAAATCTAATAGATTTTGATTCTGATTATGAAACATTACAAAATGATTGACAATTATAAGTCCAAGTTAGATATACCGCTGCGGCCAGAACAATTTGTTCGTCAAGAATCAGATGTTGAAATTTTGAATCGAGATCCCGTTAAATAGGACCAGTAATAATGGATCAAGATGATTGATATTGATTCGATTGTTCGACAAAAAAGGCAGAACTCTTGTTACTCAACAAACTTCCGTTAAGAATGTTGTGAATGGAAAATTGTAAAAATTATGATACAAGTTCACAATAAAGTCAAGGAATGTTCATCACCTTTTCTTTCATAGAATATTCTAAGTCAGTACTTCAAGAGAATATAAGGAGCTCTATGTTTGTCCCCGAAAAACTGATTTAAATGGATAACACAAATGAAAATAATGAAAATCGGAACATATACAGCAATTTGGTGCACGAGTCTTTGGACAATCACCGACAAAAATTAATTAAAACCAAGTTGTTGCTAGTGCGCATTTTAATTTCTAACTTTATAAAAGAATTTTTTTATTACAGTTATCACACCGTTCCATTAAACATTTGTGAATACGGAATTTAGAAAGGCTGCCGAAATACAACGATGAACCATATAGCAAGGTTTACAACATGGCAAAGAAGTAACGTCTACTAAAAATGTTCTGGTTGTCCCAAAAATCATCTCGGAGGGTTTAAAGCTCTGGAAATCTTCTAGAAAATTGGCATCCAAATTATCGTTAAAAGGTGTGAATTTTCTGATAATCTGATGCTGCAGCAT